TAATATCTGCGTTTTCTATCTTAGCCGCAACTAAATTTAAATATGGACATAAGATAGGGAAGTACCTGCATTGGAACATATGCCAAGATTATAACCTTTCCAATGGTCTGAACAAAGGTACTAGAAGGTGAAAATGTTATAGTGCTCTGGGACTGCACCATATATACCAACTGAAATATACAAGCCAAGAGAACAACTTCTTGGGAAAATAATGTCTGATTTTAGACAAAAAAAACCTTTATTCTGAATTAATGTATTTAAACAGTGTTTAAGTCATTGATTGTTTTTTGCAACTTATCAACCTTTTGCAGAAAATATTTTTTTTAGATGGTAAGAATTTTTTGGAGATAGTAATGATTTACTGATACAGGTCCTACTAGTTAACCCATACATCGGGGAGATGTGAAATACTCTTTCCCAAGGGTATTTGCACATAAGTGAATATAATGAACACTAGTGTAATTAGAATTCGGCTTTCTGGTTTCCAATTGCAATCCATTATCCATTACACCACTCACACATCCAAGATTACAGTAACAGGTATTTTCTAGCAGTTACTTGTCTAGGTACTGACCAGGTTCAGTGTTGCTTAACTTCTGTGATTGTACAAAAGCTAGTGTTTAACATGATATAGCCATAATCTCAGTGTTTGAATCACTCAGAATAGAAATAATAATAAAAATGAATGTCATCCATATCGGCAGTCACAATATACAAGACAATAAACCAGATATAATAACTTGTAATTATCTAATATCTGTGTTTTCTATCTTAGCTGCAACTGAATTTAATTATGGACATAAGGTAGGGAAATACCTTCATTGGAACATATGCCAAGATTATAAACTTTCTAATGCAGAAAAATGGTCTGAACAAAGGTACTAGAAGGTGAAAATGTTTTAGTGCCCTGTGATTTCATCGTATATATCAACCACAATATACAAGCCAAGAGACAAATATATTTGGTCATTCGAAAAATGTTTGATTTTAGAATGAAAACTCTTATTCCTGAATTAATATATTTAAACGGTTTAAGTCATTGATTGATTTGTTTTTTATGGCTTATTAACCCTTTTAAGGTTATTTAAAGCCAGAAAATATTTTTAGATTGTAAGAATTTTTTGGAGATAATAATGATATACTGATAAAAGTTCTACTAATTAAGCTGTAGTTGGGAAGAAGAGGTGGATTCATGCCTTTCCCAAGAGTGTGCATAAGTGAATATAATGATCCTGAGTGGAACTGGAACTCTGCTTTCTGATTTCCAGTTTCAAGCTGTTATTCCTTACACCACCTGCACATCCAAACTTACACCACCTGATATTCCCAAGTGATTATCCATCTAGGTACTGACCAGGCTTGATGTTGCTTAACTTCAGTGGTTGTACAAGAACTGGAGTTTCAATGTGATATGGCTATAAGCCCAGTGTTTAAATCAGAACCCTGAACATCTATAGATTTCGGCCATGCAGTTACAATGTTATTTATATCTTTAAGATAAAACTCCAAAGGTTTGGAGTCAAATAAAATGTTGACTGGAGGAAACTATTGCCCATCCAATATCTGGACACACTATCCTTGCAAAAATGAATTTAAATATAGACATAGGGAAATACCTGCATTGGAAAATATATCTTTCCCAATGCAGAAAAGTGTTCTGAACACAAAAACTCCAATCAGTACTATAAGAAAATATTACAGTGTCCTGGGACTTCACCATATCTACTGACTTCACTATTGAAGCTAGATATAATTATAAACAAAGGCTTCAACAAACACCAGTGCTATCTCATAAACATAGCCATCTTGTCTGATAAAAGTATTTGACAAATTTCGTAGGTAATGTATTGAGTATTGTTTCTAAAAGATACCTTTTGTGTTCATCTTTTATTTAAATTTCTAGCTCTATCGCTACCTTACATCTTAAAAAAAAAAAAAAGTTTACTTTTAACTGATGCTTTTTTTTCTTACCTCCACTGGTTGTTGGCAAAACTCAAGAGTTTCATATTCTGGTTTTCATAGAAGCATTCCTGAATGTAGAAACCTGATAATACATGATCATCTGCTGGAAATATTTGACAAAATATTGACTTAAGCATTGGCATTTTATTTGTGCTACTCAATATAACAATTGTTTTCTGCACTTATATGACTTAAATGTCATGCAACCTGAGAAAAGAGTCATAAAATTTTGTCAAATCTTACCAAGAACTTCCATTGTTATTTGTAGACAGACTGATCGTAATCTGTTTAGTGACTTTTCATGAGATAATTTTTTCTATTTCTCTTTTAAAGAAAAAGCCAGGAGGTTCAAAACCTCTTGTACTTTATATAACAAACATAAATTTTAAATATTTCTGATTTTGTACAGAAAAGTCCTGTAGTAGCACAGTCACACCAGTGGGTTTTTTTTTTTTTTTTTTTTTTTTTTTTTTTTTTCATAAACATCTTTCTGGAATATCTCTAAAAACTTCTTTTCTCTCTGGGAATGGCTTTTCCTTTGGGAAAACATGGCTTTTCCTTTGGGAAATAGTGGCTTTTCTTGGGAAAGTGGCTTTTCCTTTGGGAACTGCTCCGGAAGTGGCTTTTCCTTTGGGAACTGCTCCGGAAGTGGCTTTTCCTTTGGGAACTGCTCCGGAAGTGGCTTTTCCTTTGGGAACTGCTCCGGAAGTGGCTTTTCCTTTGGGAACTGCTCTGGAAGGTGCATCTTTTGTTACATATAGAATTATAATAATTTTGTAATTTTTTTTTAATTGAAGAGCATCTACAAAAGAAGTTAAAATTAACTTTTCAGTAACTGTTGGATTTTTTTTTTTTTAAATTTAACAAAACTAGAATCTTAAAAATTTGATTAAGTAAATATTTTAAAAAATTAAAAGTACAGTGAAACCTTCACTTACAAAAATCTCGCCATACGAACAAAAATTTGTTGGAAAATTTGTTTCCACTCACAAATTAACTTTGACTTAGTCTCCCGCGACTGCATTTCAAACTATATTTTTTTATATAAATGTACCGTAAATACTTTTTAATCTTATCTAAATATACTGCATTTTATATTTTTATGCTTTATATATTATTATAAATTTTATATATAATAAGATAATACTGTAATATTATACAGTATTATAGTACTTTTTATACTGTATTTTTATACTGTACTCTACTAAATATTTGCAGGTATATTTTATACTGTATTTTTTATTCTTATATTTTTATATTACCTTATTATAATATATTTTATATACAGTACTGTATTAATATACATCCCATATTTCTATACAGTTCCATCGCACTAGATGTAGTGTGATGCAACAAGTATTGCATCATCCTGCTCGGTCCTCTTTGTTACCTTGTAGAATAAACATTTGTAATGTATGCATATTTGTGATTAAATTAGTGTAAATGTAAAAAAAAAATTAATAACGTGCAAAAATTTATGTACATTAATGAATACAGTACATATACATTATTGTACAGTAACATGTAAATTTTATTAAAATTTATTGAATTAAAAGAAGGGAAATGTGACAATGCTGACTTTGTTTTTAGTCTCTATAGAATGTAAAGTGTATTTTAGTTTAATATACGGAATATAATCATTGAATTTTAAATTGATATCAATACAGTACAGTAGAAAAATGTAAAAAATTTATAAAGTTTAATTAGAGTAAAATAAAATGTATAAAATGCAGGTATAGTACATAAACTATGCAGTAAAATAAACTGCACATCCAGCTTAGGTTGATTTGTATGGTACATCACTGCAGTTTGTTCCTTTACATTTTTCCATACAGTTACTGTACTACTATAAATATTGCTGTACATGTACAATAAATTTTAAATTTTAGTGGGTAATTTTTTGATAATTTTTGTAGCCCATGATGTCACCTGAGAAGCTGGTTGCTACTAAGAAGAGGGAAAAAAATTTATCCGTGTAAATGAAGATCATTCAGAAACATAAAGAAGGCATCCATGTTTCTGACCTTGCCAATTTATAAAAATGTTCAGCATCAACAATTTGCATAATCCTTAAGAACAAGGTAGAAAAAAAAAAAAAAAGCTTTATATAGCCAAGGGAGTTAGCAGAATTAACAAGCGTTGTCCAAAAGCCCTAAAAGATGTTGAGAAGCTGTTGTTGGTGTGGATTAATGAGAGAGGCAGCTACGAGGTGATTCTGTGTCTGAAGATATTACATGTGCAAAGGCAAGGGCAGTCTATGTGGATCTTATCAGAAAAATACCAGCCATGTCTTCTGAAGATGAAAATGCAGTGCAGTGAGATATGGAAAGGCCACAAGCTCTGATAAAGCTGCCTTGTTTCCGAGGTCTTTTGAAGTAACTAAAAATACAAACCTGACCTTAAGAGAATTTTGGAAGGATCATTTCATTATCCTAAATTGCTTATATCTCATTGATAAAGCCTGGGAAGGAGTCGCAGTGATATATTTATTTACATTATTTGTGTATAATCTTTAAAAAATAAGTACTTTAATTATGCATAAAATACGATTTTTATTGATTTTTTTTTTTTTTTTTTTTTTTTTTTATATCAATATTTTTGGGGCTTGGGACAAATTGATTTAATTTCTATTATTTTAAATGGGGAAAATTGTTTTGACATACAAAATTTCCAGTTATGAATCCACTCCTGGAAGAAATGAAATTAGTAGTTTGAGATTCCACTGTACTTGATATTGGCTTAGTGAAGTTTTTATAAAGATTTAAAATTTGTCTGCAGGAAAGGATTAACAGTGTCTCAAAATTACTTACTTTCATTTTCTTTTACTTAACAGCTTTTTAAACAGAGCCATTTATGTTAATATTCTTATAAACTAAATTTGTTTCATCATAGATGAATAAGTACTGTTTTATATTTGATATTAAATGACTGAAGCAATTGAAGCAGTCAAAGAATTTTCAGTCCAGAGTGATGGGTTAAAAGCAACGATAAGATGAAATAAAATTAGTAATAAAATAATAGTAGCAATGAAGAGTGTATGGCCACATCACATTGAAACAACGGTTCCCTTATGATTTCCAAAGTTAAGCAAAGTTGAGCCTGGTCAGTACCTAGATGGGTGACTGCTTGGAAATACCAGGTGCTATAAGCTTGGATGTGGGGGTGGTGTAATGGATAATGGCACAGAATTGTTAAATGGAGAGCAGAGTTTCAATTCTAGTTGGGTTTGTTATGTTCACTTAACATGCAAATTCTCTTGGGAAATTTATGAATCCACCTCTTCTCCCTCCATGTATGGGTTAATTAATAAAACTTGTATCACTAAACCATTATTATCTCAAAAAAAATTTTACAATCTGGAAATATTTCTGGCTTTAAATATCCTGCAGAAAGTTGACAAGCTGTTGAAAATGGATCAATAATAAGATGGAATAAAACTAGTAATAAAATAATAATAATAATAATGAAGAGTGTATTAACACACAAGTGTTTCTCAACTGGTGTTCCCTGGAACCTTAAAGTTCCATAATAGGTCAATAGGGGTTCTGTAAGAAAGAGTGATAAATAGGCTATGTTTTTGAGTAATTTTTGTTTAATTTTATATTTATAATTTTATTATGCACTTACAGCATATTGTTGGAAAATCCTTCATTATTATTATAATAAAATATAAGAGAGATAGATATTAATAATGGTATATGATAACTCCTTGACATTTTCTATTAAGAAAAAAAAAAAAAACAATGAGCTTGTGCAGAAAAGGGTTGAAAGTTATGTGAGACATCAGGAACCTCTTCTCATCATTGTCAAATGGAGACCATCATGCAAGGCACTGTTGAAGGTGGACGTAGGAGAGAACACCAATGCAAAAACTGGTTGGACAATGTCAAATAATGGACAGGTATGACTACCAGAATTGCTGATGGCTGCCATTGATAGACTGTTGTGGCTTCTGCATTCAGATCCACCCTATGATTATAAAAGTCAAGGGGAAGATGATGATGATAATTTTTATGCAGGAGTTCCCTGAGACATAAAAACTATTTCAAGGGTTTCACAAGGGTAAAAAGGTTGAAAAATACTAACTCAGAGTGTTGGGATAAAAAGCAATAAATAAGGTGGAACAAAACTAGTCATAAAATACATCCAAACATCATGGAAAAGGTAACTTACAATTGGAATTTCATGTTAATCTTACTAACCTCAAATCAATGGTCATTTAGGGAAAAGTGTGGCAGACTCTAAGTATGTCTCGATTTCAAGGACCAAATGCGCTGGGTTGGATGAGTTGGGGGTAGGGACAAAGACTAAATTACATGTTGGATGGGGGGAGACTTCAGTACTGAACATGCAAGCAACGATGAGGTTTTGGAGAGGATGCAAACAAGGAGGAAGCTTATACTTAACATCAGGAAGAGGCAGGTGAAATTTCTGAGACATGTAATGAGGAGGGAGGTCTTGGAGAATCTGATACTCACAGGGCTGATAGAGGGAAAGAGAGACAAGGGAAAGCAATGTGTGACATACCTAGCAGGCTTAAACAAGTAGATGACAACAAGGTTTTGGAGAAGTAGCAAAAGGACAAAACATTGAGATCTACAAGGAATAGGGGGAAGTGGAGAGCCAAGATGGCCTACATTCTGAAGGGACATGGCACATAAAAGTAAGAATAGTTTATGAGAAAAAAAATTAAGTTTCATTTTCAGTGTTATATCTCAGCCCAAAACATTTGATACTTATTTTAGAATTAGTTTTAATCTTTAAATGCACTACTATATTTTTTGTTTTAATTTTTTTTTAATTTACAAGTCACTATATTTAGATCTTGGTTGTGTAATACTAACGGATAAAATTACTAGTTATTGATATTGAAACTTTTAGCTTCTTGATTGAATATCATATTCATATAAGTGCCCTTGGATTACACTACTGCATCCAGTTGAAAAGTAAATATCAGCTTGAATCAAATACAGTATGTACTGTTCTGCTTGTATAATTTGCCTATGAAATATTAGTTTCTCTATTTAGTTATTGCTGTATATTAACAGATTGTAAGATAAATCTTCTGATTTTGTTTAAAAGTTCACAAAACTCTGTGTGATTCTTACCTACCTACCCAAAGGACCAGTCAGTTATCGTCAACACTCTTGTGTATGTAATATTAGCTTTTTATTTATTTACACCTGACTTGTGGGCTTTTCTTGATTTAACATTGCATATTTACCTGTTGCAATATTTTCTCATCTGTACCTTGTTTTTATTCACCATGTCAGACAGGTTTTTAGTTTTTAATCAATACTGCTATTTCTTTTGTTGAGTTATTTATAATCTTTGAAGGAGACAGCAAAAACATCCCAATTATGTTGGAAATCTTAATGTTATAGATCTGTGTCTTAGTTATAATGGTAGGTAGGTTTTTTTTCTTCTTTCTCTTTAGTATATTTTAATACCGAATTTATATGCTTGCTTAGAAAATCAACATTTTGTTTTAACACATCTTTTAATCATCATAAGTTGTTTAATTTCTTTACATGAAGGATTGTCAATTACTATTAACAAGCAGTACCAATGAAACTTTCACTGTTTTCACATTTGAATTTTCTGATTATAATTCCTAAGTTAATGATTAAATAAGATCCTTGTGAGTTCAACAACTACAAAATACTCATGGAAATTCTTCTGTTGCATCTTTTAAATATATAAACTTAATAACTTTAAATATATAAACTTAATAACTTTAAATATATAAACTTAAAACTTTAAATATATAAACTTAATAACTTTAAATATATAAACTTTAAATATATAAACTTAATAACTTTAAATATATAAACTTAATAACTTTAAATATATAAACTTAATAACTTTAAATATATAAACTTTTAATAAACTTAATTTTAAATATATAAACTAAATAATAAACTTAATAACTTTTAAAATATAAATAAAACTTTAAATATATAAACTTAATTTAAATATATAAACTTAATAACTTTAAATATATAAACTTTAAATATATAAACTTAATAACTTTAAATATATAAACTTAATAACTTTAAATATATAAACTTTAAATATATAAACTTAATAACTTTAAATATATAAACTTAATAACTTTAAATATATAAACTTAATAACTTTAAATATATAAACTTAATAACTTTAAATATATAAACTTAATAACTTTAAATATATAAACTTAATAACTTTAAATATATAAACTTAATAACTTTAAAACAAAACATTGCAATAATAATCATAAGTATGAATGCAGCTCATTGAAAAAGAGGGTACAAGTGAAAATATTCAAGATTGATAGGTTTTGTTCATTTCACTGAAGTAGACGTTAAACACTAGTGTTATCACCTCCATCTTTCTCTCTCTTATTATGGTGATTTTCTAAGCATAGTTTAGATGTGACACAAGGCTGAAAGTATGGGGCACTCAGTGAGAATCGAACTCACTACTTGGTCGTAATTGTTCTAGCTAGACAAGCTTGCTAACCACTACACCATGTTGAATTGCCACTCTTATGATGTATTCTTTCTTTTCTCACTAAAACCAAACAATATTTTTTTTTATATATATCTTTTTATTCCAGATTTCCTCACAATTAAAATAAAATGGTCCACTATTTATCTGCAGTAATGACAGAATGTAATGCATATGCTAAATTACTTACTAATTAGCCAAGGATCAAGCAGAATTATATGATTTTTGACAAGAATTTAATTTTAATTCTGTTGCTTTGTACTTCCTAGATAAAATTATAAGATGTTTTTATTACATCGATATTATCAGATGCAGTAATAAATATTAAATTTCTTAGATGAAGCATTAATTTTTGTATTTTGTTTCATTCTGATTTTTATTATTTTTAATTTAAGATGTAATAATATAACTTGAATTTAGATGTAAAATAATGAATATTAATATTTTTCTAGTTTGCCTATGTTGTGAATATAATCTTATTTTTGTTTTTTTATTCTGATATGTCATTTTTTACATGAGGGGGATAAACATTTTGGATCAGAAATAATTGATCCCATTAAAACCTTATATTTTCTGATCCCTGCTTGTTGCTTAAAGTATCAAAATCATTATGGATCAGAAATAATGAATCCTGTTAAAATCTTATCTATTTTGTCCCTGCTTCTTGCTTAAAGACTGTAAAATATTTTTTAAACAGATCAAAAATAAAGGATCCCATTAAAAGCTTATTTCCAATCCTTGATTTTTGTTTAAAGAATGTAAAGTAGAAAAAAATGTCTGAGCTTTGCTATCAAAAGCAACAAAATTAAGATTTATCTTTAATGCTTGTTAATGACAAGGAAACTGTAGAAAAATATTAGTATCTGTCTATATTTCTGAGATGAGATATTATTTACATTATTCAGACTATTATTTCACTCACTAGGATAGACTGTTCTAGTTCCACATGCCATGTCTAATGGATGTCAGTTATCAGTTATCTCCTATTAATTCCCCTCTCCAAGTTCTCCACCACGTTAACCAGGTATTGAACTCACACTATTTATTTCACACCAAAATACTTTACCCATATTCCAAGAGGTCGATGCTTGATTTATGGCTGTTGCTCTTCTGGGATAAATTCCTAGTATTTCTAACACCAAAAGTAGTTGTGTGTACCTAACAGTGTTGTGTATTTTAAAAATAGTTTGGCTGTCAGCCTTTATTGGCAAAACAAACTCATCTTCAGCTTTTGCATTTAGCTGATTTTACAGAGCACCTATGATATATAGGCAGGGTTATAGTCTTTAGTTAAGTGTACTTATGTAAGCAAAGTCTTGTTTGCTAAATAATTGCATAAATCAAGTTTATATATCAAAGTGTTAATATGATCACCCGAATTAAATTTTGTAGAACTGTTTTTGTCAGATTTTTTGTTTGAGTTAATATTTTTCAAGGACACATAGCACATTGGATAAAAGCGTTAGTTACATCCAGTGACAGGACCCAAAGAATGTGAGTTCAATACCTGGTTAAGGCAGTGGAGAACTTGGCAAGGGGAATTAACAGGAGATAACTGACATCCATTAGACATGGCACGTGGAACTAGAATAGTCTACCCCAGTGAGCGAAATAAAGGGTTCAGTTCAACATTCCAACCATCTGAAGAAGGCTGG